TGTCCCGTGTATGGTTATTTATTACTTTATTGAAAATCTAGGCATTGTGAATTCTTAACTAAGACCACTGGGAAAAAAATCTGTTCAGTTAATATGTATTTTTGTACATTTCTTATAAACCTATTGTTGGAAAACAGTTGTCTTTTTTTGAGATAATTATAAATCTGCAAAAGCAGGAAATGTAATCAAAATGAAGAGTTCAAAATTTCAAGATCTTTTTAATTTGTATTTGCGATAGACTTTATTTCCAAGTATTATTTGTTATATGAGAATAGAAGGAATCACCAACTGTTTTTTTTTTTAACTAAAAATAATCATTTTTACCTTCCCTTGTATGTATTGTCTACATTTGATTTGAACTCACAAGGGGCATGCCTTGAACCTTTCATATTCTTTCCAAGCCCTAGTGCTAAGAAACACACACACACCCTTGTATCCTCTAGGGTGAAGGCTTAACTGCCACATCAGGACCACCAGCTCCTGTGATTATGGCATTTATGAGCAACTCACCTTGCTCTCCAAATTTGGACTTCAGGAGATACACCTCATGCCAGCCTAGCTCCTCTAGTTTTCACAAGATATGCAGGTAAACATGTAGGGTTTTTAATGGTCGGCATCTTCCAACTAGTCCTTTGGGTCGGGCATACTTGTTGACTACTCAAGTGCATCTTGCTCGGTTGGATATTTTAAAATAAGCTGAACTCTGGAAGGGGGCTGTGATCCCGTGTCACACAAAGTGGAGAGAGAAACAGGATGGTAACACTTCTTTGGCTACTGAGTGCTTTCTGACTTTTGAGAGAAAGGAAACTTTGCAGTATGCAATTCTAAGAAAATTGTAAGAAACAAAGTAGAACCGCGGGGGAGGGGAGTGAAGCCTGTGCTTGCTTTAGCTTCTGTGTTGTCCGACTCCCTCACAAATGCTGCAGCTGCAATGTTGATTGAGAAGGAGCCCGTGCATTCTGCCGAGGGATGAAATACTAAAATCTTTTTCTTCCCTTGGTGAGTGGTTCTATCTTAATTCAGAAGCTATAAAGCAAATTTTAAATTGGTATTATTTTCTAACTGGGAAGTAAGTACAACTTGTATCTGGAGTACAAACATTGCAACAGGTACTATTGCCCATGAGCTTGATGTTAACTTTTTGCGTGAGTGTAAAGGATCTTAACAGTTCTCTGCGTTAAGTGGATATATGTCAGTAGCAAACGTAAACGCGAAATAAAGGGCTCAGGTTGAAATGTCTGTGGCAATGTACAAATCTGATTATGAAGAATGTCAACGATTACCCTAGAGAACAATCACAGTTTAGCCCGGGATATAAGTCTCATCGCTCTGTGTACATTTCATCACTTAGTTGTGCACAGGCACAGGAAATGATGCATTTTAAAATGCATTCTTTTATTTTTAAACACCTGCCCAACATCTTGACAAATCCTTTTTAGTCTGAGGCTCAAACGTATGTAACCCAAGGTTAATTTCTACCTTGTGAAGTCAGGGGGTTTCAAATGTACTGCAAAGATCCACATGAGCAATAAAATGTGAATCCCCGTTTCGTTATCTCTGAACTTTGGAATTCTATTCAGACCTCTTGCATCATGTGCAAGTATATGAGAGGGGAGGATACAAAAGTGAAACCAGTCCTGTGGCTGTTGTCAGATTTGACGTTCGTCTCACGGAAGATGGATGTGCTTGCTTGACTTGCTTTTCTCTTCTTCACATGTTCTTTTCCCCCCTCCAGAAATGTGGAGAATACTCTGGGGGTTCATGTGGAGGACACCGGCCACCACCTTCCCATAACCCCCACCACGAGGGCCACCTTCCCTGCATTCCTGCTTCCTGAGCCATCTTTTGCAAGGGGGTTTGGGACTCTAGCCCCACAGTCCAGGCTCTCCTAGTCGTGGCTGCAGGGACTTCACTCACCCTGCCCTTACTCTGTCTTGACCGCCTGTCCCATAGGCAAAGCTGTTAGAAATAACCACGTGGTCATATTTGCTGCTTATTTGTTTCCATTACAGGAATCATCATTATAGATAAGAAAATCATAGAGCCAGCAAAACTTTTGGGCCATTTAGTTCCATGCCTTCATTTTACACACACACACACACACACACACACACACACACACACACACACACACAAATAGAAAAAAACTAGTTGTTGGTAAAAGCCAGTCAACATAATTCTTCTATTCAGGAATCAGTTTATTTAATGGGTAAATTTTTTTTATTTGTTTCATTATGGATAAAGGAAAGATAGAGTAAAAGATAAAAGCTACTTCTATTATGTGCAGTATATTTTGGTATCATGTGTGTAATTGCCCCAACTGAATATCAGACATATTCTGACAATATTAAAAGATGTAAAAATCTAAAATCCCAAATTCCTAAATTCCAAGAAGAAAGTGCTTCACTATTTACAGTAATGGAACTTGTAGCCTGATCTTTGAGGGGGTTAGCTGTAAAAATTCTGCAGCTTTCTTCAGATGTATAATTTTAAATGTCCTTTTTTTTTTTTTGTAGCTGCCTTCTCTGTACTCGAGTTTGTCAAGTAAGCAGGCAGATGTTTTTGCCTTTTTATAAAGTACAGTAATAAGCATGTCTACTGCCCTTACTTCATCAGCTTCAAAACCTATTCACGGCTCATCTGGTTGGAAGATGATTCACCTGAAGCTTTGTTCCCGAATTAGTAATGCGGCAGCATCTCATTTAGCAAGTGGTGCTTCCCACCACTTAGGGCGAAGAAAGTTTCTCTCTCTCATTCAGATACGGACTCAGGCTTTCACCTGTCAGAGAAAATGAAACCGTCACTAACCACTGTTTATTTTGCTGGCAGGTTCATGCCTACGACAAAGCGATTTTTCTCCAGGTGAATTACTCCCCACATTGGTGTGGCAGTGACTAATAAAGTATTTATCAAAACTCAGGCGTGTGGTCCCCATTCCCACAGTGTGTCACTGCTGCCGCCAAGTGACAGATCCGAAAAAAAATCAGCAAATCTTAGACAATTAGAGCATCGATCCCACTTAGCAAAACCAAGGCCCCCAGTCCCTCCTCGACAAAGATACCTTCTTAGGTGATGGGAATGAAGATGCTCTCCTAAATCACACTTGACCCACGTAGCCTTGCCTCCGAATTCGGGGCTCTGAGAAAAGAATGGCACAGGGATTGAGAAAACAGTGGCTGTCCCTGAACGTACTCTAATTCTAGGGTCCAGGGAGTTTTTAGTTCAGCTTGGTCAGTTATCCCTAGTTGCACACTAAATCATACTGTGATAAAGGAAGGAGAAGTCTCTGTCTTAAAACTCAATTAGACACACCAAGAACTCGCAACTCTGGCAACCCAAGAGTGCTTGGTGACATATGCAAAGACCCTTCTCTTGAGCAACCTCATTCTTGAACTGGGCTAAGAGCTTTTCAATTGCTGTGACATTTTCAGCCAAGGAAGGAGTAGTTGCTGCGGAGCAATGTTTTACAGGCAATTACTTTATATTATCAACGGAGCAATTCCCTGTCCAGAAAGGAACCAAAGCGATCAAGTTAAATCATTAAAGAGAGAAAGAGCAAGTGGGGAGAAAGGATTCATCTCATTAGCAGGTGCCGGTGCCGCAGGCTCCAAGGCGCACAATGTCACTGGCCCTTTAAGACAATGGCTGCGCTCCCTCCGCCACCCCCTCCCCTGGAGCTGTTGACGGGTCTAAACCTCCCTAGCAGCCCATTGTGGCCACAGTAGGAGGCACCTGCAGAAAATGTGCCAAAACCAGGCAGGGAGCAAGAGCTTTTCAATAAGCTCCCCAGCTGGAGAGGAGAAGCAACACTAAACAAGCGGGCGCAGACCAGGCATGTGATGGGAAAAGGGGTCAAAACCAGACACCTCCTATCGGCTTTCTGAGCTTTCTGAGCACCGTTCCCTTCAATTTGCTGACATCTTCTAGCTGGCTTTTCTCTATTTGCTTAATATGCTGAGGTATTTAGCTTAAAAGCACTAAATACTCCATCACGATGAGCTGTTCTCTCCCTTTCCCATTTACTGTTATTAAGGACGTTTTCCAGTATTTTCTCTCTCTTTCTGCCCCAAACTCAGATTGTTTGCTTTTGCTTCTCTCTCTCATGGCGACTTGCAGGCATTCTCCACCACATGCTGCCCGCTTGATTTTACTCATTTTTAATTCAGGGACAAGCAAAGCTCCCCCAAATCCAGGAGCTGGGCTGCCTCCGTAAAGCACACCTTCCAGCTGCTATAAGCACGTGTCTGGAAGCTGCACTGCATTTCGACACAGTAAACATTTATTGTGCATCTACTGTATACCTGTCACTGTCCTCAGGGCTTCTGGAAATCCAGAGGTAGACAAATGAGCTTCCCCGTTCGTACTGCCTAGGATCCAGCAGAGAAGCTAAAGAGCTAATATGACCATGGGTTTTAAGAATTTGCTTTGCACCCATGCACTTTTCTTTGTAATTCTTAAAGCCCTTTGGAGAAGAAGCAGGAGTGGAGGTGGGGAGACAGGAGGGGCGGCGGGGGGGGGGGGTACAGAGAGGGACCTGGGATGTGCCAGTGGTGTAGTGGCTTTGTCCAGCCTGCCTTGAGAAGCAAGAGGACAGATTCTCAGTTTCATCTCTCCAAGCTGAGAACCTGGCATAGTGCCTCAGTTTTGGCCGTCTAATTAATCTGGCACTCCGTATCTTTATTTACACGGTGCTTCCCAGTTCTCATGATATTTCCATCTCTTGTTTTTCTCATCTGAAGTAGGAAGGCATTATCTCTGTCTTACAGATAAAAACATCTGAGACTCGGGCAAAGCACCTTACCAGGGCCACCCAAAGAGTAGGTGGTAAGTGCAAAGGCCCTGGGGGAACCTGGCTCCTCCGCTGCCCACCTGTGCCTTGGCCTCCCTTCTGCTCTGGGCAGCCTCTTCCAGCTGTCAGCCGGCACAAACACACGCTTCGAGAGCAGCGCGGAAATGGATAAGGTGACATTTTCACAGTGAAGTTTTCCCCCCTCCTGCAGATGGAGAATGTTGGCGTGTACAGATTCTGTGGGTGTGCAGCAAAGAGCAAAGTCAAGTGTGATTCAAGGTGGGAAATACCAGCTTCAGGTAGGAAACGAACTCATCTGCGTAAGTACCGAACTGGCGTCGGAAGTAGTTACCCCTGGAATTTCGTTTGTCTAGAGACAGACTGGGTACATTTAAAGCTGGTACAGCTAGATTGAAGCACGCGTAAGATACTTGCTAAACCACTGCAGAGCGGCTGCTTGTTCAGAGTGCCGACGAGTGGTAAGAGGTACGAGAGAAAGTATTTCAGAAGCACCCTCGACTCAGGAAATGAAATTGCTTTCGCACGGGATGGGCGACAGCCGACATCCGTACTCACAAGCCGAGCTCACGGAGCAGGACCTGGCTGGGCACACACCTGTCCCCTCCCTGCCCTGCTGGCTCTGGGGCCTTGTGTGTGTTCAGGCCTCTACCAAGGCAGGAAGAGATGTCTCTGGATCCTTCGGGCTTGTTTATGCTTTAACGTCTCTCCTCACAGAGGACTGGTCCTCTTCTTCCATTTTCCCTGGTGCCTCCCTCCAATTCTGGAGGAAACAAGTGGGCTATTCATGTAAAAAGAGAAAGAGTGAGCGGGGGGGGGGGGGGGAGATGCCACCGACAAACTCCATTGAAAACCAGTGGCTGTTCATTTACATTCACACTTTTAAAAAATGTTAACTAATGATGTTAAATGGTTTGCCAAAGGTCCTGGCAGGTCAGTTGTAGAAGTGTCATTTCTGCCTAATTAGGGCTCTTGTGGCTGCCCGGGGCCTCCCAGTGCAACTGGTGACAAGCCGAGAGCTGACAGCTTCAATTGGTGCCAATAGGAAGGTTGGACCGGTCATGTTTTCCAACTCAGCCAGGTGTTTGCTGAATGGGGGAGGGGGCCTGGGGAGATCTGAGCCCTTCCACGATCTGTCTTCTTTCACTGCTGCCTGGCAAGTCCTCTCCCTTTGCCTGTCTTGTCTTGTGTCAAGGTCAAGAATGGGCTTTGCTAAATCAGCAATTTGGGTTATCTCTGGGAGGTCATTAGCAGCCCTCGGCCCAGACATTTCAAGTGGTCTCAGGACCCAGATGCTAGATTTTTTTCTCCCTGAAATCAGAGAGTAAGAAGAGGAAAGTTTTAGGTTAAAGAAAAAAAAAAAAAAGTAGGAAGAAAACAAAAGAGACCAAAAAAGACTCCGAAAACTCTGCCTAGCTAACAGTGTTAAACTTCTGAAGACATTTCATAATAATAAAACTGCCTGAAGACAAAACAGCTAAAGCATCCTGATCAATGCTTTAAATATTTCAAAGAAGGGAAGACAGTAACGAAAAAGAAATCCTCTAATGTGCAATTGGATATAGAGTACCTGTCACATAGTAGGTGTTCAATAAATAACTTATTGCTCATTTGATTTTTCAGGGGAGAAATTTTTGTCTGAGAAACAAAGCAATTGATGGAGATCTTGCTATTTTTCACACTTACTTTTTAAAAAATATTTAACTTTTTTATTTATTTTTGAGAGAAAGAGACAAGAGAGCCTGAGTAGGCGAGGGACAGGGAGAGAGGGAGACAGAGTCTGAAGCAGACTCCAGGCTCTGAGCTGTCAGCACGCAGCCCGACGTGGGGCTCAAACCCACAAACTAGGAGATCATGACCTGAGCTGCAGTCGGACGCTTAACCGACTGAGCCACCCTGGTACCCCTTTCACACTTACTGTAATTGTTCCTGCAGTGCTCTTTGAGTTTCCTAGTTGACCCAAAATACATGCTAAGTTGGAGTGCCACATGAGAGGTTGATAGGATTATTATATATATGTATATATTTTTTTTTACTTTTTTTTTTTTTTTGACAACTTAAGCAAACAACCCCTGGTGCTCAGGGGCTCCAGGCTGCAGCAACCACAGCCCAAAGAGGCACTCAGATAGTGCATCTGAGTCCAGAATTTGGACTTGACCCACTGGCAGGTCCTGTGGGGATGACGGCACTGCCTGTTTGTGCCTGAATTGGATATACCTGCACTCGAGCACACGATGCACCGAGCCTGTTTACTGGTCTGAAGGGAATGGCAGGATTACTGCATTGGGGGGGGGGGGGGGTGTCAATGCTTGTGAAATCAAAGGGAAAAAGGGTATTGCAAGAAGCAATGTTTGTTTTCGGAAAATCTTAAGACCAGACCCTTCGATGTCAGTTTGGGGGGTGGGGGCGGTGGCGTCTAAAGCGATGGAGGTATCTGCTGACTGGCAGTTTTCAGCTCTCTTTCCCGCCTGCTGCCTCTGTTTGCTCTAATACGGAGCAATGGAAAATGGGGCCAGAAAGAAGACTGTCCCTGGCTGCTGATTTTATCAATGGCGTCGCATGAAGATTAAACGAGACGGCATATGTAAGCCACGCTTAGGACAATACCTGGCACGTATCAGGTGCCCACTCACACCTGAGCAGAAGGAATTCTCTTTTCTCCTGTGCTGAGTCCTTCATGGTCGGAAACCACGCGCTGTTCTGCAGTGTCATGTTATTTTCTCTGTACCCAGAGCATGTTTGAACAAAGAGAATTCGGAGACTCGACTAATAGGCTGATCTCATGAATGATAACGTGAGCAAATGAATCGAGACACATTTAAACAGTTTAGTTGCCTGTCTCCAAATTTTCCCTCCAGGACCTCCTTTGTCACTAAATGCCCTTAAGAGGTCCACTTTGCATTTTCGTCCACCCCTTTTGTGTCACGGCACGTGTCCTTCTTCTTCTTCTGTGACCTTCTTGGTTCACTCCTACTGCTTTTTTCCCGGGGATATGATTTTCCTTCTAGTTCCAGTACTAACCCCGATCACGGCTCTGCCTCCCACATCCGCCTCCGTCTCTCAGATCTGATCCGCCGCATGTGATCGCTGTCTGCGTACTTGGAGGGTGAATGATTTACTGTCTGGCTCTTACGGGTGCTAAGAAGGGGCCACTGAAGACCCTCCTTGTGGTTAGGAAGATGAGTATGTAAAAATCATTCTGTAAGGGGCGCCTGGGTGGCACAGTCCATTAAGCATTTGACTTTGGCTCAGGTCATGATCTTGCGGTCCGTGGGTTCAAGTCCCATGTTGGGCTCTGTGCTGCCAGCTCAGAGCCTGGAGCCTGCTTCAGATCCTGTGTCTCCCTCTCTCTCTGCCCCTCCCCTGCTTGTACTCCGTCTCTCTCTCTCTCTCATTCTCAAAAATAAGTAAACATTAACAAAACAAAAATGAAAATCGTTCTGTAAGACATTAGTGGTAAAGAAAACCTTCTGCAGCAATGAAACCAGCATGTAAAAGTAAGCCAATTATTTACTAAAACTGAAACAAAACAACAAGAAGGTTTTGAAGACTCGTGAACAGAGGAAAGAACACGTGAATGACAAGAAGTCTTCTGTTTTGTGGCATTAATGTAGTCTGGTGGTATTTGTGATAACTGGTCCTCACAACGGTGACCTGAGGAAGGTGAAATCATGTTCAGTTGGATAGTACCTAAACCTTTCTGAAAGCAAGTCTGATCTTGTCATCCCATTGTTTGAAGCTCTCTGGTGGCCTTTTAGATCTGACTGTGGCTTCTTTTTGACCTTGAACCCTTACTCTGCTGTGCTGATCTGCTGGCAGTTCTCAGGATATGCCAGGATGTTTCATGCCTCAGGGCCTTTGAACAAACTGTTTCATATCCCCGGAATTCCTTCTGTCCCTGTTGTTCTCCTGACAAACACCTGTTCCTTATGCCACCTCTTCCCCGAAGCTCCTCCTGACACCCCCAAGTTACACAGACCTTTCTTTCTTTTGTGCCCCTCGACACAAAAGCACCCTTTTCTCAATAAGAATAATAATTGTAACAGTAGAAGTTCCCTTTTATCGAATGCCTTCTGTGTGCCAATGTAAGCGCTTTCACTGGTGATATCGTTAATTTCTCACTGCTCCATGAAGAAGGTGCTGGTGTTGATGTTCATGTTATTGATGAGGACCCTGGGGCTCAGACTGCCTGTTGAAGGTCACAGAGCTTGACAGTGGTAGAGCGGGACCCTCGCCCAGCCAGCACGATGCATGCACACATATGAACCATCCTTGATCTAAAACCACCAAGCCACACTGCCTCCCATTCTAAGTGGCCACCATGCCGGTGTGTGGGTTCAGTTTATCTTCCCTCTAGATGGCGAGCTGCTGGAGGTCGGTTTCACTCTTCTGTGACTCGGTGTCTAGTGTCTTGTGTCGACCAGCGCATGGCAAAGACTCTAAATGTGGGTTGAATTTAATGGAATTGAATTGCACTACATATTTGTGTGTGTGTGTGTGTGTGTGTTTACACACATATTCTCTCTCCCTGCCTCTCTTATTCTCTTTATATGTGTCTTTTATATACGTATATGCATGTACACTATACATATTCCATATGCATACGTATATAGTTATATACACAAGATACACATATGTCTATGTAGGTATGTATACATAAATGAATGTAGTATATATAAATGAGGTATATATACATATATATATGTATATAAAGAGATTAAGAGGCAGGGAGAGAGAGAACCAGTCACAGTTGGAAGGAATATACATGCATTATAGCCTCTCTGACTTTGGATAGTGAGTTTTTATAGCCTGTGTTAACCCACTTTGTAGCATGGGTGAGACAGCGTGTACGTGGACGAGGACCCTCCTAAAGACAGACCTTGAAGCTCTCCAGGTTCTGCCCCCGCTGTCATATTACGTTTAAGCCAGATGGTTATCAGAGGAGGAGATGTCTAGGTAGAAGAACATTTTTGAGTTTTTTCAATATGCGTTGTCTCAGGTGTAGAGACGAGTCCTACTTTGTCCAAACACTTTTCTTCATCATTCAGCCTTCTTGAGTCTGGCGAGCATGGGTCTCATTCTCTGCCACAGGTGACCACTGTGCCTCCTGTAAGGTGCTCTGTGTTATGCAGAGGGACAAGAATGACTAATAACCCAGCACAGAGAATAGCCTTAGCACAAAACCAAAAACTCTATTAGATCTAAGAGGCACCTGTGGGATCTGGAAAGTTGGGTGAAGGTTCAGGAATAGCCAGTTCAAGGGCAAAAACCTCTCTCCTGGATCCTGTGCTCATGCTATGGCTTGCTTCTAGAGGGGAAAAAGTAAATGTGTTGTTTGTATACAAGTGCCCATTTCTCACATTTATTTTTACCCCACATGAGCATGAAATCCCAGTCTTAAAATCAGATTCTAAAACGTTATAAGCTGTCAGGTTCTTATTGATTTCTAATTTTTTTTTTTCAACGTTTATTTATTTTTGGGACAGAGAGAGACAGAGCATGAACGGGGGAGGGGCAGAGAGAGAGGGAGATACAGAATCGGAAACAGGCTCCAGGCTCTGAGCCATCAGCCCAGAGCCCGACGCGGGGCTCGAACTCACGGACCGCGAGATCGTGACCTGGCTGAAGTCGGACGCCTAACCGACTGCGCCACCCAGGCGCCCCAAGTTCTTATTGATTTCTAAAGCAATCCACTGGCCCTGGGTGATCCCTCCCTGCTGTCCTCTGACCCTCCTTCTGCCACTGACCAGTCATGCCCTTTGCTTCTCTCTCTGTTCCTCTGCTCTGTTTCTGGAACCCTTCCTCTTGGCCTTGCCAGACCCTACCCATCCTCTGAGAACCACTTAGGTCCATGAGGATGAGACCCTTTCCTGCTTTGCTGTGGCATTAATGGTCTGTGACCTTTCTGACTGAGAAGCATGGAGTGATGGCATTAAAACCTTAATATGAACTTATCTGGGCAGGCTGAGAATCTGTGTGCTGCTCTTTAAGGAAGGAGTTCTGGGCTGAAGACCACGGAGGGTCAGGAAGGGTGGTGGCCCGTGGATGCTGACCTTGGCCAGGATCAGCGGTGGCCAGCAGCGTTCGTAACGCCTATCTACAAAAAGCAGGAGGGAGCAGTCATTCTGTAATTCATATTTAGAAGGCTTCCTGAGAGGGGCACCTGGGGGGCTCAGTTGGTTGCGCAACTGGCTCATGATTGTGGCTCAGGTCGTGACCTCAGGGTTCCTTGGTTCGAGCCCCACATTGCGGAGCCTGCTTGGGATTCTCTCTCTCCCTCTGTCTCTACCCCTCTCCCCCTCCCTCAAAATACATAAATAAACATTAAAAAAAAAAAAAAAAAGCTTCCTGAGAGAGCCCTGTTTTCCACTTAGAGCTCCCAGGTCATTTGGCCAAGATTTTCTGCCCCTTGGAAGTCTCCAGAAAAAATCCCCAAAGTTGGAAATGGGCTTTCCTTTTCAAAATGCGCATCCATAAATTCGCTTCGCAGCTCTTCATTTGATCTCCTTTTACTTCTCGAACTTCCTGCCTTATTCCAAGACGGACTCTGAGACCTACGCACAATCAGGTAACACGAGTGGTATCTTTGAGAAACAGGACTGGACGGAAAACGGGGCAGACTCGCAGGTGAGTTCGCAGATGTGTTGCGTGAGGTCTGCGGCATTTTCGGAGAGAGGCCACGCGCGTCTCTCGGCCTCCGCAGTGTGGGACGAAGGCGCCCGCTCCACGGGCCGGGGGAAGCGGTGGGCAGAGGCGGCTCCCCCCCTGCGGCTGCGCTGCGCCCCGGGTTTGGAGCCGGCTGGGGAACGTGGGCCGGGCTTTCCGGGGCCCTGTTTGCTTGAGCCAAGAAGTCCTCTCCCAGGAGAGCCCAAGACAGTCCCTGGTGAAGCTTCGTTCGGAGGCGAGGGAACAGTCCGTCCCTCGTTTGCCCGGGGCTGCCAGGGGAGGGGGGGGGGTGGGCTTGAGCAAATGGGGACAGAAAGCTCCCATCCCCCACCCTTGCCCCGCCCCCACAGTGCTGGCGGTAGTTTCAGTTTCAGGCAGCGGCTGCGGTGCCAGCAGTGTCCCACCCCCGAGGTGCTGATTGGGCCGCAGTTCCAGTGATGCGTGGCGGCAGCGGCAGCAGAGGCGGTGAGCCCGGCGCTGGCAGTGTCGGTGGCACTTGCACGGTGGCAGTGGCACCAGCACTGGCGGTGGCGGTGGCACCAGCATCGGCAGCGCCTGTACCAGCGGGACGCGGCACCGCGTCTTCGAAGTGGACACGTGGACACAGCCGCATCGCAGCAGCCCCGGGACCCCGTCAGCTTCCGCATGTCCCTGGGGGACAGGTGGCCGGAAGTGGCCAGGGTGGGCTCTGCCCAAGGTGGCTCTGTGGGTGACGGAAGCCTGGGCCACCAGAGACTGTGGGGAGGCTCAGCCGAGAAGGTACTGGAGGTTCCCCTAGAGGCAGGGTGTCCAGTGGCCGGTAGGAGTCAGACCCCGTTTTTAGCCTTGAGAGTGAGCCAAGAAGAGATGAGCGACCTCACATTTAGAGCTTTGTAAGATAAGAACCAACCGGCTGGTAAAGAGAAGCTTAATTCTTCCTGGTGTGGGCAGTTGAGCACACAGCCATTCATTCATTCCCTCATTCGTTCAGTTTTTCATTGAGCAAACATCAGTGGGACCTTCACTAGAGTCTGAAGTCAGATTAGTGGCATCTGAATCTGGCTCTGCATTTGCTAGCCTGTGATCCTGACAGAATTGGGTGATTTCTCTAAACCCCAGTTTCCCTGTCTCTAATATGAAATGTAAATAATATTAAGTATCTACCACATTGGGTTTTAGGAGAATCCGATGTATATGGAATGTGCTCCAGTAAGTATGAGCCATGAGCTATGATTAAACAACGTGGAATGTACAAAGATTCACATAATCCCGTAGTAATTAAAACAGTGTGTGTCCATATAATGAAACACTACACGGCCAGTGTCCAGAAGGATATACAGTTGATCCTGGAACCACCTGGGTTTGAACTGTGCAGGTCCACTGATATGCAGATTTCTTTTTGATATGTATAGTACAGTACTGTAAATGTATTTTCCCTTCCTTGTGATTTTCTTAATGACATTTTCTGTAGCTTATTTTATTGTAAGAATATAGTCTATAATACATACAGCATAAAAAACGTGTGTTAATTAGCTTTTTATATTATTGCTAAGGCTCCCCAGTCAGTAGTAGCCTTTTAGTAGTTAAGTTCTGGAAGAGTCAAAATTTGTACGGGGATTTTCCAGTGTGCAGGGCGTCAGCACCTCTAACTCCTGTGTTGTTCAAGGGTCAACTGTACTGTGTTAACCGTGGCCATCACTTGGTAGGGAGATCACGGGTGATTTGATTTACTTACTTTTCTTATCTGCCTTTTAGAATTTTCCTGGAGTATATGAACTATTCATGAGATTTTAAAGTAGAAGGGAGAGAAATCTCGTCTGACCATCTCTTTGGTGCTTACACCTGCTCCGTGACACTTTTGTCCACTATATGCTCGAACAGTTCCAAGAGGAGCAAGGTGCAAGGGCACTCAGGGCAGCTCATTGCGTCTGTTGGCAGCTCTGATTCCAGAAATTTCCTCCTTATGCTGTCTGCTTGTATTTTCTAACAGTTAGGGCTCATTCATCTATTCATTCAACCAGTACTTATTTTTTTTAATTTTATTTATTTATTTAAAAAACTTTTTTTTAACGTTTATTTATTTTTGAGACAGAGAGAGACAGAGCATGAATGGGGGAGGGTCAGAGAGAGGGAGACACAGAATCCGAAACAGGCTCCAGGCTCTGAGCTGTCAGCACAGAGCCCGACGCAGGGCTCGAACTCATGGACCGCGAGATCATGACCTGAGCCGAAGTCTGCCGCTTAACCAACTGAGCCACCCAGGCACCCCCAACCAGTACTTACTAACTACCTCCTATATGCCAGGCACTGTGGCAAGTTCCAGGGAGACAGTAGTGCATGGAAGCCAACAGAGTCCCTTCATGGAGCTAGTAATTTAGTGAGGTCCTCAGACTATATAGCCCAATGACTAAATAAATATGTCATTACAAATGAAGAATCTTTGAAATGCTCTGAATCTAGGAGAGCACACGGCAAAGATCCGGGGGGGGGGGGGGCATCTTGATGGGGACCCCGGGGGCTAAAATGTAAGCGGGACCATGAATGGTGTGTGGGAGTTATGGGGGTATAGGCAGGGGGGGAACAGTCCAAAAGGAGGAGCAGAATCTGCTTCTGGGCCACATGGTCATTTCATTGGCTTTCCATGTGTGAGCCTTTCAAATATTTGAAAATGGCTTCTTCCCCAGAGTCTTTCTGTTTTACTTCTACTCTCTTCAGCTTTTCCTCCTAGGATGTGACTTTATAGCCTATTGTCATTCTGAGACCCAGTTTTTGGTGCCCCGTCTTCTTATAACTGTTTTTGAGCTCTAATTCACATACCATGCCTTTCACTCATATAAAGTGTGTAATCCTGTGACTCAGTGTATCACAGAGTTGTGAACTCACAAACTGTGAGATCATAACCTGCGCTGAAATCAAAAGTTGGATGCTTAACCGAGCCACCCAGGAGCCCCTGATTCTAGCCCAATGTTGCTAAGGTTTGTCCATGTTGTAGCCTGTGTTAGTACTCACTTCTTTTCATTGCTGAATAATATGCTAGGGTGTGGATATATCACATTTTGTTTATTCGTTAGTCCACTGATGGACATTGGGGTTGTTTTCACTCACTGGCTATTATGAATAATAATTACAAGTTGTGCAGATGCATGTTTTCACTTCTCTGAAGTATACACTTAGGAACTACTGGGTCATTTGGTAACTCTGTGTTTCACTTTTTGAGGACCTGCCAGACTGTTTTCCAAAGCCATTGCCCCATTTTATGTTCCCACCAGCAGCATATGAGGTTCCAGATTTCTCCACATCCTCACCAACACTTGTTATTATGTGTGTTTTTAAAGTTTTTATTCAAATTCTAGTTCACATACAGTGTAATGTTAGTTTCAGGTGTGCAAGGTAGTGATTCAGCACTTCCATACCACACCTGGTGCTCATCACAAGCCCCCTCCTTAATCCCTGTCCTCTATTTCACCCGTCCCCCCACCCACCTCACCCACCTCCCCTCCGGTAACAGCCAGTTTGTTCTCTATTGTTAAGAGTCTGTTTCTTGGTTTGCCTGTCTCTCTCTCTCTCTCTCTCTCTCTCTCTCTCTCTCTCTCTCTCTCTCTCT